AGATGAGTTATTTATAACTAGAAATAGNTATTTGCAAATTTATTTAATAAAAATTTAAAAAAAAACAATAAAATGTCTAATTTCTCGGAAATTAATAAACTAAAAAGAAATATGAAAAAGTTGAACAATGTTGAAAGTAGTGTTGAATTTTTGAAATATATAATATCATATATATAATCATAATGCACACACATATTATGTTATATTCTTTATATATGATATTTATATATATTATCAATCAACTAAATTTTAATGGCCCAATTTTCAAAAATTCAACCAGGCTCAACCTAAAACTCGCAAAAACAAGCAATTACAAAGAAGTAAAAAAAAAGGAAGGAAAATAGCGAAGAAATGAATACATGAATATTCAATTAATAAAACCCTAAACTAGTGAAATGATAAATTGTATGTATATTGGAATATATATATATATATATATAGCTTTTTCCAAATTTGCTCTATGCATGTGAGACGTGGACAATAAAGAAAAGAGACAAAGACAGACTCAAAGCATTTGAGATGAAGTGTTACCGAAATTTGTTGAAAATCAGTTGGAGGCAGAAAGTAAAGAACGAAACCATCAGAAATCAACTTGGAAGACAAAAAACTGTATAGGACAAAGTCAGAGAAGTAAAAATTGGGATTTTTTAGAACACATTTGTATAATGGGGAAAGACAGATTGATTAAGATGGTACTAATGAGAAAGAGGTTATAAGAAAAAAGTTGGTAGACCTGCAAAGAAATGGATAGACGACATTACTGAATGGACTGGTGTTGGTATTCTGAATTCAATAAAACTGGCCAAAGATAGAAAAGGTTTTTGTAAAGAAAAAAGAAAAGAAATGTAAAAGGTATGCTTAGATGTACACCATCGGCTTCGATGGTCCCCCGATGGACAAAGGAGGATCATTGATTGATTGATATGTTTATTGATAACACATTTACATCATTTAAAAAATAGACTTTATAGTCATTTAAAATCGTTTGTCGAAAATCTTTAATTTTATCTACAAAATTCAAACGCCGCAAAAGTGGCACTATATAAAAATAAATATAAACGTTAGATTGTAAAATCTTTTGTTTTCGAGTTGTTTTATTATAAAACATCTTTGCCTTTTTGTTTTTCGTCCTGAAAATATATTCAACTATGAACTGGATAAAATTATTTCTAACTAATTGCGAAAATGTTTTGTGAATGAATGATGGTTAAAGAAGTTGTAAGTTAGCTGATTGTTTCTGACAATTGTTGAATTCTGTATTGAACATCCATTGGTAATTAATCTATAAACGATGGAATTTGATTTCAAAAGACCATCAACCAATTTAAAATTTGGTTTTTTTGCATGCAAACCAAAACTTCTGCAGGGCTTCAATACGGTAAAATGGGTTCTTTTTTTCTTTTGCCTATCTTCTACCTTCAGGAGCGCCACGAATGGTTTGTTTTCGGTGACATTGTCAACAGTTGAGAAGCGGTTTCAATTCTCCAGTTTCCAGAGTTCTATTCTTGCAAGCGCCACCGAGTTTGGTCAAGTACCAGCGCTGGTGTTTATTATGTTGTGTGGACACAATGTGTAAGTGCAACGATGCTAATCATGTAAAAATTTGTAGCTAGGCTACGGTCAAAATTAAATTTGTTAATTTTGTTCAAAATTAAATATGTTAATTATGTTCAGAAAACAGAGACCACTTTTTATAGGATTTGGCACAATTGCAGTTTCTTTTGGCTGCGTCCTCTGCTTTCTGCCGCAATTTTTGGTTCCTTCCGACATTTCAGTAAATTTTTAAATTGCTCAATTATTTAACAAGTGTCTACGTTCAATTATACTCATAAAGGTGGTGAATAATAACAGATCAGACAGGATAGATTTGTGTCTTGGTAGAAAAATAAATGAGAGAAGTATGAAGTTAGTTAACGAAAAATACAGAAAAGACTCTCAATTATTATCCTTGAGTTTGCTTTTTCTTGGTCGGTTGATGATTGGTGCTGGAGGAGTGCCTACAATAACTTTAGGCCTAACATACCTCAACGATTGCTCGCCTACCCACTTATTTGCCCTGTACACAGGTTTTCACCAGCAGACTTGATTTATAATAATAAAACAAATTTTTGTATGTAATGAAAATCATTTAACGTGATATTTAAAAAAAATTGATATATTAAAATATTGTAGGCATTTTTAACGCTATGAAAATTACCGGTTCTTTTATGGGAGCAATAAGTTCAAGCTCAACGCTTTACATTCCCCATAATTTTTATAAAATGAACAAGCAAAGGTAACTTTGTCAAAATGTGAAACTGTTGCTTTGTAAAATGTCAATAAGTTATTTAAATTTTTTATCAAGTTTAGGAATAAGTGAATCAAACTACCAGTGGGTTGGTGCTTGGTGGTTGGGCTATGTCATTTTTGCAATCATGTGCTTCGCATTTGCTTTACCAATTTTTGGTTATGCGAATGATTTGCCAGGTAACTTTTATTAAACATATATTTTCACATACATTATGCGCACAAACAAACACGTGCGCACACTCATATTACCTTGAACGCGTGCGATCTACAAATTACACACACGCTTTTTGATGTGAGTATGTTTGAATATTTAACATGTCAGGCATATATTGTTTAATCAAAGTTCTGCAAATTTTATTTTTGTTTGTCTGTAAGCAAATATTTTTTACTTGCTAAAACTTTTATCGAAATTTGCCAAAACTAGGTGCAAGTTCTATAAGAGCAGCGAAGATCAACGAATTGTCGGTTTTTAGTTCTTCAAATTTGAAAGAAAGAGTTGATGTCTACATGACCATATGGAAGTTACTTCACAATACAACGTTTTTATTGATTTGTCTCTTCTCTCTGTGTGACATGTTTGTCCTATGTGGCTTAAATTCGTTCGGACCTAAACTAATTGAATTGTTAATGTTTGTTTCTCCGACGTTCGCTGGTCTGATTTTCGGTAAATTATTGTTTATATAATTGGTTAAATTATTATTTACAGCTGCAAAAGCTGTTTACATGTTTTCCAGGTTTTGTTTTTTTACCGGCCGGAGCTCTGGGAACGTTGATTGGAGGTTACATTATAAACAAGTTCAAGATGCATGTTTGTGCAATGATGAAATTTCAGTTGTTGCTGTCCATCGCTGTCATCGCTGTGGCACCAACAATTTTTTCACACTGTCCAAGCAATAACCTAGTTGGACTAAACAGTTTGTCAGTGATAAAATTGACAGAGTTGTAAGTACTTGAATTTTAGAGCAACAAACTTAATTTTAAACAAGTATTTTTATTTAATAGATCATTCAAATCGCGCTGCAATGAGCATTGTAAATGCAGCGTCGACAGTTATCAACCTTTCTGTGGAAAAGACGATAAAGAATATTTTTCTCCGTGTTTTGCTGGCTGCGCAGCAAAAATGTATAACCAAAAAACTAAAATTTACGTAAGATTTTTGTCCAAATTTGTTTATAATTTTTTTTAATTTTATTAACTTGACCTTTAACTAGGAGTACCAGAATTGTTCCTGTGTTTCTTCAAGTGACCAGCGCCATCCCGATGGCCATGGCAAACCGTGCTCGAAACATTGCAAACTTTCTTACATTTTTGTTGTTGGATATGCTCTGATATTTTGTTTTGCTTGTATCTGCTTAACAACAACCGTGTCGATTACATTTAGGTTTTGAATGATTGATACTTTTTTTCAAGTTTAATTATGAGAAATAAAAATTGTAAGATTATTAGGTGATTTGGTTGCCTAAATTTTCATGGCTAGTTAATTTAATACCATTACATTTATGCAAAATTTATTTAAGAAATTTTTTTGAAAAATTGAAAAATTTGCGCATGTAAATGTATCTGCAGAGTAATTCAGCCATATCAAGCTACTGCTGCCTTATCCATGCAAACCTTGTTGGTTAAAATATCAGGTACGTTTTTATTCTTTATAACAACTTTCTTCGATCGTTAAAAATTATTTATAAATTTGAACAGGCACCGTTCCAAGCCCTTTGATATTCGGAGTGGCACTTGACAGTAGCTGCTTCTTCAAAGATGTTCAATCGAGGCACATGAAGATTGAAAATCAGAAAGTTGCCAAATACATATTTTTGATCTTGCTGGTTCCCAAAGTGATAAGTGTGTTAGCCATGGCTATAATGATTTCTCTGCATAAATCTAACTCAGTCTCAAAAAATCTAATCGAAGATATAACTATAGAAGTCAAACCCGCTTGATGTCAATCACTTTTAATAATAAATTGAATATGCATTGTTTTATTATAAAAAATATTTCTGAAATTATAAAACTGAAATTTGTTATTATTCACCTTTGAATTTATAAAATTGAATATTTGCTAATCATTTTAGTGTTATTTATATAATAATGAACGTGCAAGAGCTTATATGAATGATTATTGAAAGCAAAGCAGCAAACGATAAAGCGACAAAATTTATTTCATTGACTGACGTTAATTTTGATCCTGTCAACTCTCATAAAAGTCGTGTAATTTTCCGCCACGACATTTTTTTCATCTCGTTATAATTGCGACGCACGTGTTAACAAGAGGAAGGATAGTTATTGTAGTGATGAAGATGATGACGAAGATGAAGACGAAGGTTTTAAAAATATTGGAGAAGTTAGCTACGACAAAGAAACTTTTAATAAGCAATGGGACTACAACTCAGATTCTGCTGCTAACGACTCACCTGCTGCTTTTACTTATAATGTTTCATTATTATTGTAGTGATAAATATGATGACGAAGACGGCGATGAAGGTCTTGAAAATATTCGAGAAGTTAGCAGTGATAAACTTTTGATATGCTGTAGTGGGACTACTACTCGGATCATTCCGCTAACAACTCGCCCGTTGTTTTCAACCATAACAACGACGACATTAACATAAATAGCAACAACGATTTCAATGCAACACTCACCAACGATTCAACTTTTGAAGATGATTATGATAAGAAAACCATTAATCTAGAGATTAACGATGTCAGTGAAGATGATTCTAATGCTAATGCAAGTATTCATACCGAACACAAATTGGTAACAGATGATATTTCAAGTTTTGAGAAAACCTCTCCAGTACGCACTTGGAATGTAAATTTGATCTTTGTTTACCTGTTTGATGATATCAACGACGGCTTCATTGCTGATGAGAATGAGTTTTTCATCGCTGCATCACTGATCGATAGGAAAGATGTCAACGACGAATCTTACATCATGCATCAAAGCTATCATTCTACACTTAGTAAACTCGAAAGGAAGAAAGAAAGCACTTGTTTAAGTGCCAACAAAATCAAGAAAGAACCACAACTTCTGCCTATGGCTAGAGGAATCGAAACAATGGGAGCGTGGCGTGACCACAAAAAAATAACGCAGATTTCAAGAACAAAGACATGGTCTGGTTGTACAACGTACGGCGCAGAAAAAGGCGATGCCCAGCAAAACTCACAAGGAATTGGAAAGGTTGGTACAATATCACCAACAGGATAAATGACGTGATTTGCAGAATCTATGATCATGGAAGAAAATGGTCTAAAATGAAAGTTGTCCATTTGAATAGATTATCCCCTATTTATCGAAATAGAGAAGTAATGTCTATGTTAGGGACTAACAGGCTAAGGTGAGGGTAATGTTAAAACCGCTATATTTGTAATTGAATTTGTGCTGAAAAATCTAGGCTATATATAAGCCCCGCGTAGTCAGGTTTGTAGGAGGTTTCTAGCCAGGTTTCCAGCAGAAAAAGCAAAGCCGTGAATGTGATTTATGTAGTTACTTGGTTTAGTTTATTGTTTCTATTACTGTTGTTATTCAAGAAATAAATGTTCAACAAAGTTTGCGTTTGAAGCAGTTGTGCTCATCTATCGGAAATCTTGAACCTACGGAATAACGAACACTTGACGATCGTTAAAAGCTACAACATTGGTGTTGGAATAAAAATCTTTGAAGTTATAACATCGGTATTGGTAGTTACGAGAGTTATGAGTTACAACATTATGTTTCGTTTTCCCAGTTGTTATTCTATACGATGATTATACCATCTAGCGAAGATAATGATCGTTATTTATGGTTTTTGAATTTCGATAAATTTGATTAATGATCCATTTTTTTAGCTAAACAATAAAATAATATTTTAATTTTTATAATTGTTTGATTCGCTAAAGATATTTAGTTACGGAGTACAAGTTATGGAGTATAAGTTACCTCAATATTTGAGTATATCAACGTGTTATTTTTCTAGTTATCGCTTCGTTACATGTATAATTATAATTAAAACAGGATGCCTCGACAAGAATTGTTATTGAGTTTTTAATTTTTTTAATTTAAAGCTTTTAATTTTATGCATTTTTCGTTGTACTACGGGTTTTGGGGTTTGTAGTTTTTAATTTTTTTAACAGTGCAGAGCTGTTTTAAGATGTCAACTGTCATGATAATTTTAATTCGTTTAATTCTAGTTATATGTTGATTTATTTATATCATTTTTAATATTTTTATCGCTTCGGTTAGTTTTACCTTGAATGCTTACGCGTCAATTCCCTTTTAAATTTTAAATAAACTCGATTTCATATAAAAATAAATAGTACCAGTTGCGATCGGTGATCGTTAATCGCTAATTGTTCATTGCATCATTATTTTAATAAAAAACTTTTTTCGGTTTGCTTTCCGTCTTTATATCATGCAAATCAAATAATATTATATTTTTATTTAAATTTAAAATATTAATAAATAAATATGACACCGTTGGCTTCTAAAAATTCTAATTATACTTTTTCTATTGTAAAATTGTTAATTTTTGTGTTCGGGTTTGCTTCTGTCAATGTAAACTGTTCTTTAGAACTCAAGCAAAATTTTCAGGACAATTACAATAAATTTGTCTATGGTCAGAACTTCTTCAATAATAAAGGTAGAGTAGAGTTTTGTTAGTTTCATAGTAACAAGTAATTTAATTAACATAAATAACTTAGTAGTACAGTAACGTGGTAACGCTAACTAATGAATAAGAAAATGATGTGATAACATTGTTATAAACATTAACGATCATTACTACCAAACCTATGTTTTAACTTTAACAAATCACTAAACTAAACTAATCTAAGTAATTACATAAATCACAATTAAGACTTCACTTCTAAACTCGCTATAAAACCTGTTACTCACTTCGCTATTTGCAACACTTTATATAAATATGTAGTCTCTACATTTATAATTATGTTTATTTTTTCAAATAATTATGATAGTTATAATAATTTGTTTTAGAATTTAATTTTGCTGTTTTATCTATAATTTCTTTCCTGTACAGATGTTATTTTCACATTTATATAATTCATTTAAAATTTTATCAAGTTTGTAAGAAAGAAAACTATGTCTGTCAGAATGATAAACTGGGGTTTGAAGCAATTTCCATTTTACATTCATATATTGATGCTAATAAGGATGGAGGTGTTGAACAATCTGAGAGTCAAGAGGTTTGTTTGTCTGTTTGTTGGTCGTTATGTTCATTTGTTTGTTAATTCTTATTTTCATTCGCTTTTGTGTTTAATGGTTCTTATGTTCATCGATTGGTCTGTTAGTTGGTTTTTATGTTATTTGTCTGTTTTTTCTATCTTTGTCATATCCTTTTGTTGTTGTTGTTGTTGTTGTTGTTGTTGCCTCATTCTGGGAGACCCCTAGAGCTCCAATCGAGGCCGGAGCCAAACCGCCACTGTAATTGGGTTTCTCCAGAGATCTATTGGTTGTAGTTTTGTGGTGTTTTGTGAACAGCTAAACAGATGTGGTACATCATCTGTATGATTGTTGCAGAAAGGACAGATGTTGAGGTGCCCACTGTCGATTCTGTTTTTGTAGCTGTTAAGAAGAATACTATGGCCAGAACGGAGTTGGGCTAGGGTCCATCTGATTGTCCTGGGAAGTGATTCTTCTGTAGGATCTATTTTTGGTGTAGGTGGAGGCCATCCATCAAGCAACAACAACGGCGACTGATAGATCTCTGTGGCGGCTTTGATGGTGTTATCCTTTTGTTCATGTCTGTTGTTGGATTTATTGACTTAATTCTGTTAAATTATATTTCAGATTCATATAAATAAATAAAATTTAATAATTTATGCAATTAGATATTTAAATGAAGTTCCTTCACTGGCAACTGAATTATTTAACCATTTCTTGATTGCTCACTGCACTGTTACCATTCCACATTAAAACATTTGATTGATGCAGTATATATATATATGTCCATATATGTACGTATATATATATACACATATTATTTATTATAAAAAGTTTTAAGATCGTTGATTTATTATGCTGTACTGTAAAAATTATTGAAACAATTTTTTAACAGTTTCTCCAGGAAGATTTGCAACGAGCTGACCAATCAGTGAGTCAGCCAGGCTACCATAGCAACGACAACCACGTGACCGTACATGATCTTTGGGACTACTGGGTTCAAAGTGAAGGTAACATTTGTCATGATGTAACGGTGATGGTGTCATTTTAAGGACACACACTTATTTGAAATAAGTTACTGCAACTCAGAAACATATTTTTGTAGATGTTGTCTGTAAATTATGTTTGCTAATAAATGTCAATGAATGTTATTAATATATTTTGTGAGTAATAATAATAATATTAATGATAATAATAATGATAATAATAATATTAATGATAAAAAAAAATAATGGGAACTCTTTTATTTTTTTCCAAAAAAGGGGCGAAATAAATATTCAATGAAATAAAATAAAATAAAATAAAATGAATTAAAATGAGAAAGTAGTCTACGATGCTCGCCATTATAGATTTAAAATGCGTACAACGAGAAATGTAATCAGTCTTAATATAGTTATAATAATAATAATGTAAACTCTTTTATTATTCAGAGAAAACCAGTAAAATCAAAAATAGTCAAAATAAAATATGTCAATAAAATGTTAAAATTAAATATTGTATAACGTAAAATAATTATAAGATAAATAAATAAATAATAATAATAATAAATCAAAAATGATTTAGGTAAAGAAAAACAAAAAAAAATTATAAAAGCGTATTCTACGTAGCTCGTCATTCAGTGAAAGAAACACGAAATGAGTACAACGAGAACAGATTAGTTTTACGTCGATTCATTCCGTCAAATTTCTATCACAATAAACAGCGTATGATGAGGATATCGCAGAGTTAATAAGACTATTATAAAATTGATCAGACCAAATAATGTCGACCAGCGACAAATCGAAACAATTGAAAAAACCTAGCGGCGAAATTTCGAACATGTTGATTATTATTTTTAAATGTTTTAAATTGTCAAGTAAATTGTTATGGAGGTTATTAGAATATTTGTCCATTTTATATTGTTTTGAATTGAAAAAATTAGACTCATGGCAGACGGTGAGCTCCAATATTTCAATTGTGTTGTCACGGGGTAGTGCGATGTCAGGACGAAGTGATTTGAAGAGACACGACAGTGGGCGGGTCCCATCATAAACGACGTCTGCATACATCGCAACCTCTGGTCCTGCGCATGATTTCAATTTTTCTATTATTATATTTAGAATATTGTTATGGCGTGTTGTGTATCTTTTTAATGCTGCCACCGAGCTGCAGTTGGATAGGACATGTTTGTTGGTTTGCCGAGCATTGCAAAGTGTACAAATGGCAGAAGACGATTTTCCCCATCTAAATAGATTAGCATTCGTTGGAAGCTGTTGAATAAGGCTTTTCCTAACAAATTTGAACAGTACTTCAGGAAGTTTGGCGGTGAACCTCGACCAGTGAGCAATTCTTACCGCGGGAATGTTGTCTTTAATCGACTTAAAAATGGTCCCTTGGCAGCGGAGTGACAGCAAATGTTCCAGTTCTTCATTTACTTGCCGATTCTTTAGAGCGCTGAGTGTCGATTTTGTGTCATTTGAGTCGGGAAGCATGTTGTCAATTTTAATATACTTATTGTATGACTCACTCCACAAACATTTTAACTCCTCGTGGCCGTTTGATTTAAGGTAATTTCGTAATTTTACTCTTAGAGATTGGCAAAATGTT